CGATTTTTGTACAACGGCTTTAAAGTGCACTGAGTGCGCATTAGTTCTACCAATGAAAAACGCTATTAATATCATTGCCGAGAAATTTTAGCCTAGGAAAATTAAATATTTTTTTGCGTTTTGGAGGCAAAATTGCCATAAAAGATTTGTTTGCGGGAAGTTCTTCGAAATGACGTATTATATACATACTAAAAGTTCTGAGTTCAGTGGACTTGGCGGTTAGGACTTTCCAGTTTGAAAAAACTGCTCAATAATGCGGTTTTTTAAAAATACCTCAGGAAGTATTTATTTTAGCGAAATAAAGGTCATTATCAAAATATTCTCTTACCCGATTTTTATCAAGATTAAAAATTTTTTATCGCTTTCTTTTTCACTGTAAATTAATTGTGTGCATTTCTTAAAGAGGAGGAGAGGAAAAAGCAAATATTTTTTTTATAAATTATATTATCATAATTATTATTTTCAGCTTTCACGAGGTTGGAACAAAAGATCTGCCGGCTATGTTCAATTACATTTTTAATTATACAGACCAAAAAGATTTATATTATATCGGTCATTCGATGGGGACTACTTCATTATTTAGTCTTTTGTCAACAAAACCAGAATACAATATAAAAATAAAAATGGCTATTTGTCTGGCTCCAGTTGCTTTTTGGACGGAAATAACACCTACATTTAGCACAATTCTTAACAGTTTTCCAATAGTGAAGGTAAATGCCAAAACCTGTGATTTTATGGCAAGCAATAATGTTTAAAATACAGTCGAAAATTAAATAATTATTTACTTTTATTACTTAATGTGCCACAAATATTGTTAGCTATTATGAGCTAATACTCTTGAATGTTTCTTTTATATGTTCCAGGAAGTTCTAAGAGAACGCGAAATATATAATATTTTACCACAATCTTTAACGACTGTTACAATAGCAAGATTATTGTGTAATGAAAATGCAATGACTCAATTTATTTGCATTACTATATTGTTTTTTATCGTTGGTCGTGATCCAACACAACTCAACACTGTAAGTTTTATTACATATACATAAACATCAAACATAAAACAAATATAATGTATATAATGTATGCGTATAAATATTTTTTATTATATTATATAAATTTTCTAACTTTTTACATTTATATAAATTTATACTGTCCACACAGCAAATGTATCAAAAATACATCTTAGAGATATCTTAAAGATATATTTGGGATATGTGATATCTTTAGGATATCTATCTGATGTATTTCGGAAATTTTTGCTGTGTGGGTGTGAGAGAGAGAGAGAGATGAGAAATACTATCCATTTCTCCTGTCCTCTTCCTCTTATTAATTATTCTATGACATTTTCATCCATATGAATTATTTCTGTTATAGACAACTCTGCCAGATGTACTTTCCTACTGGCCAGCTGGTACTTCTGTGCATGCACTTGAACATTATTACCAAAATGCTCAGATGAGTGAGTTATCCGGAAATATCCGTGTATAAAGTCCCAGTACATCGATATAAATTAATAGAGTATACAGAGTGAATCAGAGTCGTTGAACCAGCTTTTTATCCTATGAGAAAATAATTGACTGCACACGTTATAATTCAATTAGGTATGAAGTCGATAATTTTCTCATAGGGTAAAAAGTTGGTTCAATGATTCTGATTCACCCTGTATATACATATACAGGGTGTCCCAATAACTATTTATAGCACCTAAAATATCTTCGAATCTAAGGTCCAAAGAAAAATTTGTATAACCAAAATTGCACGATATGAAGGAATGTATCATATGGTTATAATAATTTTTATCCAGATGCGCGTTTCAGAGATTTCAAGGTCAACTTTATTTCTTTTAATGAAATTATATGATTTCTTTTACATAATATGATTCCTCTAGTTATTCTGCGTATAAAAATATTAAAGTAAAAGTATCGAAAAATCAATAATTTACGAGATATTTTATACTTTATTCTGGCACATATTGGCATAAATTTTAAATAACTTTAAAATATTTTTTATATCATCAAAAATAAGAAATATTCAAGATGTTCGATTTGAGTGGACTACTATGTATATTATTAGTAGAATCAGTACAAAAAATTATACCTTTTTAAAAAAGGTAAAAAAAGGTGCTAAGAAAATGTGCTTCTCGAATAAAACCTAAGTATCCAACCCAATTAATAATAATCATTTTGATATGTTGACCCAATTAATAGTAATCATTTTGATAAAATGATTACAATAGTAGTCATTTTGAATGTTGGCCGTTACAATATTCGGAACGATTGTAGTGAATTTACATCGCTAAATATGAATAATTTGCGGATCTTTTGTCTTTCGACTTTGATTGATTTTTGATGTTCATGTCTTTCATGGCTATGTGGATTTTTATCTGTTATTCATTGCCACTGGAATTGTCAACCATTGCCAATTGAATAAGAAGATTGAGTTGCCACTCTGACGTCTCGCCATGAAGAAGAGAGAATTTTACAATATACGTTCAGACATACTGATGATGGCCCGGAAGCAGGCCGAAACGTTTATGCATAACTAATTATACTATATATTTTTCGACAATAAACGATTTTTATTTTCGCACTAACAACCGTGCTAAAACTCTCATTAGTCCTTATTCGTTTTTTGACATTCTCGAGAGTTTGGTTACTTGTTTTATCTAATTAATAGTAGTTTTAATTTTTCTTTTGAAAAGCTCTCGAGATAAGCTAAGAATAATATGCAATGGAAAATCGAGGGTTCCATTTAAAAAATTCAAAGTGACTTGCCCTGACCTTCACAACGTGACTCGAGGTCAAACCTATAATACTATCTTATGTTTCCCTCGAAGTCATAAAACTTTTGTCTGAAACACTTTTCAATTTAACGTTTCTGAGATATTTGAGTGGATCTTTTAAAATGGAACACCCTATATATACATATACGTTTAATCCTTTTTTTATAAATGTAAGATTTGAATACATATTCAGATACATATTTTTACGATTATATTTTATGATATCGATTGTTACAGATGATTTTCGAAGCTATGATTATGGAACAGCTGAAAATTATAAACGATATAAACAGAAAACACCTCCAAGATATGATCTCGAAAAGATTACTGCTCCGATGATTTTATTTTACGCGGCAAATGATATGGTTGCCGCAAAACAGGTAAAAATTTAGTTTTTAATTGCTTAATTTTTATTCATAAAATGGCAAAATTTTTTATATGTATATAACGAAATGGTCATCACGTAATTGTGAACAATATAAAGAATCTAATTGAATGCAAAATAAAAGGAACATAAATAAAAAGGAAAACAGTTGATTTATATAGATAATTTATTTTCTGTTCTTAATATGTTTAAATTATCTCGTTATTAATACTGTTCTTTTATTACATTTTTGATTTTCAGAATGTGTTCGAACTTAATAAACGCTTACCAAATGTTTTTTTAATCGAAAAAGTCCCACACGAACTCTTTAACCATGCAGATTACCTATGGGCAATCAACGGAAAAACTCTTTTATACGATCGTATATTAGAATTAATACAAAAATTTTATGCTAGTTAAAGTATATCCATAAAATGAATTTAATTAATGAATGTAAATTAAGTTGAAGAGAAATCCTAATTTCTCTTCTATATAATTTGAAATACTGGTAAACGAAAAAAATTGCTAGAAAAATGTGTGTGTGTGTGTGTGTGCGTGTGTGTGTGTATGTGCGCGCGCGTATACACATTTTTTTTAATTTGCATGAAATTTGTCAACTGATATAAAATTATTGTTTTGTTGACTATTGTGTGATAAGATTAAAATAAAAATACATTTAACATTGAATTAATATTAATTTAAATCATAAATGATTAAACGGTATGTAGATTGTACATATTTTTAAAGGTGCATACCTTGCATATCCCAATTTTGAATCGCTACCTAGTCTTGTTGTTTGAAATCACAAATCAGTGCTACTTTTGACGCTTATTAAGCGAATAATAATCTCTATATTTTGAGATTATTTCAAGTAAGAATAAAGAAAACATTTATTCGAATATAATGCATTGGTGTTGCTCCGATTTGATTCTGACATGTTTATATGTACGAGTATATTAAAAATGCATTATTACAAATACTTATTTTTACTTAATTATTATAAATATATGTTTACATTATTCAATGAATACTACAAATCCCAAGAAAAAAAAGAAGAGTCAATTTTATTTTCTTTAACTATAGCAATCCTAATTAATCATAAATATGTGTGTATGTGTGGTTAAATAAGAAATGAAATAAAGATGTATTTTTGCAAAGAGAAGAGATATTTTCATCACATAAGATATATGAAAAGTTATCCATCTGCATCGCAAAATATCATTAAAGCTTCTTCATCTATCACTATAACCTCTGCATTGAATTATAAATGAAGGTTGAATTGTAATTCGACATGTAATTTTTTGCTTTGAATGTATGCCACAATTCGATAGAATTGGACCAGAAATTTAAATTGATCAAAATTACATGTTAAATTATTGATATTCATATATGTTCATCTAAAGAAATGCCTTGTCTAGAAAATTTATAAAATAAATAATTTAAATTTGTACATCTAAATCCAATTTTGTAGAAAAAAATTGAAATAACTATTTCTTTAATATATATACAAAGGATACAATTCATCATATTTTTACAACCAATATTACATATCTTTTAATTAAATTTCTCGAATTAAAATTCTATTAAAATAAGATATCAACTGGTAATTAAAATTTAATTTATTATCTATTTGTGATCTTTCAAAACTTGATTTAATAATTCAAAAACTATTGATATCTTTTTTTTTATTTCTATACTTTTATTAATAAAAGTCCATTTTAAATTAAGAAAAAATTTTTCTCTTTTTCATTATTCGTTAGTTAATTTATTTCGACATATTTTGTATAAATTAAAATCAGAAAGTTTGTTTATTCGACAAAAAATATACATTCATTGTTTAGAGTTTCATTAAAGATATTTGTTCATGTATCTCATAAATTAATTATATTCGAGTTTGTATATTTTTAATCTATCGAAAAAGAGCAGTTTCCCTATTTTTAATCTATTTTTCAATTTTTAGTTATTCAATGATTTAATCCATATATGTAGAATATAGAAATGCCACGTGTGTACAATCGATCCCTAGAGCAATAAACCAAGAGATAATATAATAGGCTCTCTATGATAAGTCATTACCTAAGCTTTAAATACTAAGCCACAAACACAATAGGTGTAGTAAGTCTTAAGCCTTAAGAAATTGACCAATTATAGCCGATTATTCTTTTCACATTCAACTGTGAATGATAAATTTCTTAAAGTTTAATCTATTGTGTTTGTGGGCTAAGGTTTAAATATTGGCTTATTGTAGAAAGCTCATAACAGAAGGTGCAAGAGATAAAATCAAATTTATATACGGAAAAGTTCAATTGATTAAAAATAATATATAGTGTCAACTGTATTAAGACTTACGCGGAAGTTTATTTACGTATCTCTGTGTAAGTACGAGTATGTGCGTGTACGTGTTTAAGTTAATTATCGAAATTAATAATTAGATCATAAAATATTCAAATCATTCGCATACAATATATCTTATATATAATATATATTTATCTGACTTATGTGCATGCATTATATCTTAAAACATACTGCTTTACGGTTTTACAAGCACAAGAAATAAGAATTTTTATAAAAAAATTATTTCAATATACACATCTTGCTAATATAACAAGTTTCTTTTTTGTCGGCAAATGAGTTTTCTGCTCATTATGGTTTAAATTTTTATGCGTAATTATCTATTCATTATGTAACTATCATATCTTGACTGTATTATTTAACAAAGAACACATGCGAACCCATGTGGATCGCCATCTTAGGAAACAACATGCTGCAGCAAAGGCAATTTTTTCAGTACTAATTATCAGCAGTCGCATTCAAGTGTACAATATCAAATTTGTACCTTGTCTTGACGGTTCAGTTTCTCAGGTTTCTCAAGTTTTCAAATCTTGGCAATATAATCAGTCCTAATTAACATTTCTTTTCACAATGTTTAATTATCTAAAATGTATAACTTCTACGGCATTTTAGACCGTGCATTTCAATAGTGTTAGCCAAATGTTACAATGAAGTATCCGATGGTGGTGTACTTTCGTGATGACTAATTTGACTTAGAGAATGTTGTAAAGCATCAGGCGTTAACCATTCCTTTGGCAAACAACGTTGGAGAAATGGTACACATGAACTAAAATAAGCCAGACGATTTACCCAACCAGGTATCTCCTGTCCACATAGAATCTAAAATACATTGTATTAAGTTCCATTGTATTTTTTATGTGTGATTTGCTCATTAATATTATTAAAGAAAGCAACGTACTAATGTGAATTGACTGCTGAAGTGATTACAGTTTTTATTCATGAGATGATAACGGTCTCCTCTAAAATCTTTGCCTAATTCTGTAATAATTCTTGAAACATCTTCTTCCGTAAAATCTGTATATCCAATGTGAACAGACTGTCTATAAAATAAAAGAATCGCATTGATTTTTCATGGTACTTGAGAGAATATATAAGCTTGATTTATATTTATATAAAAACTTTACCTGTATCTAAACTGTTCGCCTAGTTCGTCAGCCACTCTTGGAGCAATTTCAAAAATGCCACTTTTTGGTTGAGCATGACCACCATATGCATATTCTACAGCAGAAATATATCTAATATATTGTCAAATTTTTGGTTTTTCGTAATTGTACATACTTGCTTTTTCTTAAATATATCATATACCTGTTCCATATATTTCCACTCCAGAGTGAAATACACCGAGACCAATGGGTGTAGTATATTCATTTATCCAATACTATTTACAACAAAACATATAATAAATTAAATCAAATGTCTAAAAACAGTGTCTGATTATATATTCTTTTTACAAGTAGAATAATTTGGCTCTTGTAGAAAACTGATTAATAATAAATAAATTTATCAAAAATTACCATTTGACAAAGCGATTCATAATATTCATTTTACTTATAATACATTGAAAGCAGTAACTTACCATATCATAAACATTAAGAATGATTGGCTCACGTGCCATTTTTGGGATCAATTCCTCACTATCTTGTGGATAACCCAAACAACTGGGAAAGGAGAGATTACAGTTAAGGCCAGACGAAAACATCATTGGAAACTTGTATTAATCCACAGATTAAAGTTGACTATTAATGTCTTAATAAACCTAACAAATAAATATACAATTTTATTTTTCCACAGTCTCTATATTCACAGAGAAAAATATAAATTAATTGCTATATGACGATTGGTTTAAGGAGGTAAATAGTATGAAAATATAAGTTATATAAAAATTATAAAAAATTGATTCTTAGATCATTCTCTGTATGTGTTGAGAAAATGTTATATTTACATACAATATTTTTACAAATGTGTAATAATACTAAGGATATGAGGATTATCGCCATGTCGTGATTCATTATCAATGTCAATGTTTTGTAAACCTTGCCATTCACTTCATCAGGACAAGGAGCACACTGATACTGAATATCAATGTGCTTCTCATCCTGATGAAATAAATGGCAAGGTTCATGCAATAATGGCATTAGCAATGGATCATAACCCACAAATCTTTTGGCACTCCTGACAAAAATATCTGTGAAAGCCTCAAAAGTAATATAAAGGATAATAATATATGTACATATACAGTAGCTCTCTTTTAACTTTTTACCAACAAATTCTTTGGACAATTTGGAGTTGTTTTCATTAACAATGACAGGTATATATAGATAAATATCAAGCAAAATGATAATACCTTACAACATAAACTCGACACTAACACAATGCTTTGTGTTTAATTGCTAGATACATCCATTCTTGTAAGACTATGTTTTACTATTTGCGTGTTTGGATGTTATTCTCTCTGTCTCTCTCTTGATTTTTTAATATCAAACAAGTTGTCTTTATATTAAATATGGCACATCATTCTGATGTATCATTACAGTCATCTCTACAACTGTAACATACAAAGTTGATTCACTTCATGTTCAAAATTCGAAAATTTCTTCGAGTAATAAAGAACCACCTTTACAAAAAATCAGATATCACTGCGTTTGCGCGACCATCTGCTTTAACCACGTTTCAACACAAATAAGATTAACGTAAATAAGGGATATGTTATTTACTAACTGACATCCCATTAAATTCCTTGAAGTAATGCACAGCAAGTTTGCAAGGTTGTTATATAGATAAGTAATTTGTGTACTAGTATGAGATTAATATCAGTATTGATCAATATAGACCGCTGTTAAAAATTTTGCAAACGATTCTCCAGCGATAATTTTTCTCCGAGATACATGAATGTTACTACTCGCAGCTGCTTCTTGCTTGGTCTCTTGTATCTCAACATAAGAATGTGTTCATGTATTTGTCAATCCGCGTCATCTATCGAAATACTTACAAATCTCTCTGCTTATAAGCATCTAGTTATATTTTCCATACCATACTTTACACTAGCGATTGGCGACATGGGGATTGCGTCTGCGTCGTGTATGTATTAAAGCCCGTCTACAATACACGGAGTAAGAAGTAAGAG